AAAGCAATCAAAATTGTTGTTGTTGTTGTTGTTATGTGCCGTCGAGTCGCCTGCGACTCATAGCGACCCTATGTACAACAGCCCTAAACTCCACTCTGTCCTGTGCCAATCACACTGTCTCTGACACTCCCATCCCAATTATCCCAGTCACTGAATCAATCCACCTCATAGAGGGCCTTCCTCTCCTGCGCCGTCCCTCCACCCTCCCAAGCATGATGTCCCTCTCTAAGGACCGGTCTCTCCTCACAACATGTCCAAAGTAAGTTAGACGGAGCCTCAGAATCCTTGCCTCCAAGGAGCCACCGGGTTTAACCCTCTCCAGGACAAATCTGTTTGTTTTCCTAGCAGTCCATGGTATTCTCAATATTGAAATGCAAATTAAATGAAGTGATTGAAAACACCAAGGCTTTCACTTTAGCAATTTAGAGAGGTCTTTGACAACAGATTTTTCCCAAATGCAACACATCTTTTGATTTCTTGACTGCTGCTGTGATGAGTGCTGATTGTGGATCTAAGTAAAAATAAAATTGTTGATAACTTCAGAATTTTCTCCATCTGTCATGATGTTGCCTATTGGCCCAGTAGTGAGGATTGGGATTTTCATGTTTTGTTTTGTTGTTTTTATTTTTGTTTGGGGAGATTTTTAAAATTTTATTTTGTACTGGTTTACATACAAAGTTCATGAAGTTCATATATGTTGTTTTTGCCATTATTTTACCAATCCTTCCCTCCACTCATCAAATTGTGTTATCCTATCTTTAAGCACCTCCTGCCCTTGGATCCTCTTACACGCTCTACAATAATGGTCCTATACAGTATTTGTCTTTATGAAATTGAGTTAGTTCATTTAACATAGTACTCTCTGGTCTCTCTCATGTTAGGTAGTAATTTACAAAACCATTGCTCCTGTGTGCTGCATAGTATTTCACTGTATGAATGTACCATAATTTCTCAATCCATTCCATTGTGGTTGAGCATTTGGGCTGTTTCCATGTTCTTGCTATGATGAATAATGCTGTGATGAACATTGGTGTACAAAGACTTAATCCAATTACAAAATGGACAAAATATATGGAAAGACTTTTTACAGAGGAGGACATTCAGATGGCTAGCATACACATAAAGAAATGCTCCAAATCACTGGCGATAAGAGAGATGCAAATCAAAACCACAGTGAGATACCAAGATACCCAAGAAAGAGTGGCAAACTTTAGCAGTGCAGCAAGTAATAAATGTTGAAGAGGATGTGGCAAGATGGGAACTCTTGTTTACTGTCGGAGGGATTGTAAAATGTACAACCACTCTGGAATGCACTTTGGCATTTCCTCAAAAAAGCTGAACACAGAAATTCCACATGACACAGCAATTCCACCGCTTGGACTTTACCCTGAGAGAATGAGGCGCAAATAGTAAGGATTTTTTGTATTGCTGTATTTGACATGTAACCCATACTGAAGGCTGAAGTATTTATTCTTCTTCAATAAATGCTTCAAGTATTTTTCACTTTGTGCAAGCAAGATTGTGATCATCTGTATTATATAGGTTGTTGATGAATTTTCCTCCAATCTTAATACCAATTCTTCTTCATATAGTCCAACTTCTTAAATGTGAACACACACATTAAATAGCTATGGAGAAAGGATACAACCCTGATTCACACCTTTCCTGATTTTAAACCGAACAGTCTTCCCTTGTTCTGCTTATACAGCTGCTCATTGGTCTTACATGAGCACAATTAAGTATTCTGGACCCCTATTCTTCTCAATGATAGCCATCATTTGTTATGATCCAGACAATCAAATGCCTTTGCATAATCAATAAAAGACAAGTAAGTAAACGTCCTTCGATATTATCAGCTTACAGCTAAGATTTGTCAGACATCAGCCACGATATCCCTATGTCATGGCCTCTTCCAAATCCGGCTTGAATTTCTGGAAGTTCCCTGTTGATGTATAGTTTCACCCATTTTTTAATAACCTTCAGCAAGATTTTACTAGCATGTGATTTTAATGATACTATTGATAATTTCTAACTCTGTTGTATAACCATTTTCTGGGATAGAAATAAATGGGATTCAAGGTTTGGTCCATGTATATATCATTATAATACTTTGGTTTGTCTTCTCAAGCTGCCCTTTAATATTTTCTGTTCAGTTCTCATACTTCAGCATTCTGCCCCCCTTGTTGTGACTTCTTTCCTTTCCAGAGCACGTTTCAGAGTCTCTTCTGAAATCCACTTTAGTCTTTTCTCTCATGTTACATTTGTGGTGGCATCTTACTTTTTTCATAGGCAATGTGTTTGATGTTATTCCACAACTCTTCTGTCTTTCGTCATTAATGAAAACTGTCAAATCTATTCTTAAAATGGCTTTTAGATTCAGTTAGGATAGACTCAGGGTCATATTTTGGTCTTTATAAACTTGTTTTCATTTTCTTCACCTTCAGTTTGAGCTTTCATGTTAATTAATGGTCTATTCCACAGTCAGCCTTCGGTCTGAATTTGATTACTGATATTAAGTGTCGCTCCAGTGTCCCTTTGCACAGATGTAGTCAGTCTAATTCCTGTAGTCAGTCGGGTGAGGTCCATCTGTCTTATCACTATTCATAGCTGGTAGTTTGGTTTTGTTGGTGTTTTTTTTTTTTAAAAAAAAAGTATTTGCAATTAATAAATCATTGACTATACCAAATTCTTCCAGGTAATTTCTAGCCTTATTTCTGTCACCAGGGCCATATTTTCCAGCTACCATTATTTTTTCTTTGTTTCCAATTTTTGCATTCCAGTAACCAATTATTATTCATGCATCATAATTGCATGTTCAGTCAATTTCAGACTGCAAAAGATAGTACAAGTTCTCAATTTCTTCATTTAGCATTAGTAATTGGTGCACATATTTGAACAATACTTGTATTAATAGATTTTCCTTGTATGCATATGGATAATATCCTATTACAGCACTGAACATCAGGATAGATTTTGAGATGCTCTTTTCAATGATGAATCATCACTATCATGAATGATGGGTAACATCATTCTTCTCCAATTTGTCATTCCTGTCATAGGAAGTCACGTGTTGATCTGATTCAAAATAGCCAGTACCAGTCCATCTCAGCTCACTAACACCTAGGATGTTAATCTTTATGCATTCCATTTCATTGTTTTTTACAACTTCCAATTTCCCTAGATTCATCCTTTGTACACACCCATGTTCCAGTTTTTAAAAGATGTTTGCAGCTATTTCTCCTCCTTTTGAGTCTTACTACATCAACACATTAGAGCCATCTGTGTCATTACAGTAGTCTCAAATCTGAGGAGTAGTAGTTCTTATCCCATCATATTCTGAGTGCCTTGCAACCAGAGGGGCTCATTGTCTGGCACTATATCAACATGTTCTTCCATTATCCACAGAGTTTTCAAAGACCTGTGAGTTCAGACGTGAACACTTAGTCCTGCATCTTCATCTGTCTTAGTCTAGAAACTCTACTGACTCCTGTTCACCATGGATGAACCTACTGGTATTTTAAATACTGGGTGCATAGCTTTTAGCATCACAGCAAGAAGCAAGCCACCACGGTATGGCAAACTAACAGATGAGTGGGGGCATAAGAGTAATTTGTTGAAAATAATTTATATATGTTTAAGAATAATTATCTCTGTTGTTGTTAGGTGGCATCATCCCACTACAACTCATAGAGACCTCATGAACAAGAGATCTGAACTTTGCCCTGTCTTTTTTTTTTATTATTATTTTGTGTGTGTGTGTGTGTGTGTGTGTGTGCGTGTACCGTCAAATCAGATCTGACTGGTACAGTGCCCTGTCTTGAATAATCATCACAGTCTCTATTAGGCTCAAGCTCATTGAGGTAGTTATTGTGTCAATCAATCTCTCTCCTTGAGAATCTTCCACTCTTTTGTCAACCCTCCACATTTCCAGATTTGATGATTCTAAGAACTGGATTCTCCTGAAAATATGTCCAAAGTACGTGAGAGAAAGTTTCACCATCTTTGCCTCTCAAGAACTCTCTAATTATGCTTACTTCAAAACAGATTTGTTTGTTGGTTTTTTGTTTTGTTTTTGTCTTTGTGTTTTTGGGGTTGTTTTTTTCCCCCAATACATGAGATATTCAATATTTTCTTCAACACAACAATTCAAAACATCAATTCTTCTTGGTCTGGAAGTAGGTTTCCTGTGAGCATAATAACTAAGTATTCTGGGAATCCACAAATACTCACCACAAAGGCATAAAAATCGTGATTAAGGAGGAGTTAGGCACTTATTCTGCTGCTTAAATTTGGCTCTTTGCTTTCCTAAAAAGAACAAACTATTATGTTTCTGTCTTGTTCTCTATCCTTTCTTCATTTTCCCTTTAATTGTGCCCCCTGCCTATTTATTTTTATTTTTTATCCCCGGCCCCTTGCCTCAAAGCACACATAGGTCAAGTGAAATGGGAAGTATGAAAGTGTCCAGCTCATCTGGAAGCATGAGGGAAGGTTATCCCACCCCCTCACTGCTTTCAACACAGCCCCCTCCATTCCTGCCTGACTTCCTAGGTTTTTCTTCTATGTCACCCACTCTCTGAGATCATGACTAAAGCAAAACCCAACAAACTGGTTCCTGTACAGTTAGTGGAAAGTCGTGATGACCCCCTGTGTAGACTTGTGTTGTTTTTTTCAGTGACTATTTAGGGAGGGGGGATGGAGTGCCAGATCTTTCTTCTGTAGCACCTCTAGGTGAACTCAGGCCTCCAACATTCTGATTACCATCTGAGCCACCATTTTCACCACCCAAGAACTCCAGTTTAAAGTTAATCAGGGGTGAATTCAGCAGCCCTTCAACCAAGTAAGATGAGGCCACATTTGAGAACAATCTTATTAATAGTTCCCCAGTAGAGGCTGTATTTTGCCTTTGCGGAGAGCTTCTACTCCCCCTTACAATATTATCCATGCTTCTCACAAGACAAAGTCTGATTAAAGTGATGGGCCCTGTGCTCCCTTCTCTTCAGCTGCCATATCAATCGCATCCTGGAATCCCCACGGGGAAACGCTTTGCTGGTTGGCGTAGGGGGGAGTGGTAAGCAAAGCTTGACAAGGCTTGCAGCTTTCATCAGCTCCATGGACGTCTTCCAGATCACTCTGCGGAAAGGTTACCATATCCCAGATTTCAAGGTAAGGAGGCTGGGCAGGTAGGGGAGGAAATGCACCTGACTCCAGTTATCCACATCACTCCTTCAGCCATCATTCCTTTTTCACATTCCTTGCCAATACTTCCTTTTAAGAGCCTCACTAATTTCTTCTTAGAATCAAAGCTGGTGCCGTGGTTCTTTCTTATTAGACACAGTCTGAGAACAGTGGCCTTTCCAAAGTCAGCCTTTATAAGACCCCAGCTGGCCTAGTTCCATCTGTGGAGCCTCAGCACTCACAGAAATCAGACCCAGAGCCTTATCAAATGCAGCACACAGCGTATGAGCAACTCAAGTGTTACAGAGAGTGGCGAGAGGAGGAATTCTGATTGTCTGCTCAAGTTCTGTAACACCTTTATATTTTAAAGCCTGGATCTGTAACCCCTGGACCTTTGAGATCCTCATTTGTCAGTTTCAGACGCTAGGTGCTTAGGAACCATGTACATCCTTTAAAAGTTGGAGGAGGACATTATATACAACCTGCAACGATCCCTTCTTTTCATCCATGGCCACAGTGTAGTCACAGCAGGGCATCATTACGTAATATCCATCAGGTGCCAGCTTTACTTATTCCTAAAAGAATCCCAACCAGCTCTGATAGACTTACCCACCTCTTCCCTGTACACAGCTCAGTTTCTTGAAGACAGACTGAATGTAAAGTCATATACCAGATTCACATTTGGACATTCACAACATAAAGAAACCATAACCCCCACCCAAGCAGATATATGCAACCCGATGTTTATCGCAGCTTTGTTCACAATAGCAAAGAGTTGGAAACAACCCAAGTACTTACCAACAAACAAATGGATAGAGAAGCTCTGGTGTATTCACACAGTAGTATACTATGCTGCACTGAAAAACAAGGAACTCATGAAATAATATGCAAAATTGATGACCATGAAGGACATTATGCTGAGTGAAATATCTCAGTCACAAAAGGACAAATACTGCATAGTGCCACTATTGTAAAATGAGACTGACATATGGATTAGGGGGAGACTGAGAAAGAGGGGACAAATAATGTATACTTCATTGAAACAGATGAGGGAGAGAACTGTTTAAAAGGGATATATGATTAGGTATTATTGTTGTGACAGGAGTCCAGAATGAAGGCTGCACAGTGGAGTGGACTAGTGGGGGAGTATATAACAATGAAAGAATTATATGAAGCAAAATACTGCTGAAGATCACTAAAAAATGGCTAGATCAGTACATAGATTGGGAACTTCCAGAAATTCAAACAGAATTTAAAAGAGCCATGGCACCAGGGATATCATTGCTGATGTCAGATGGATCCTGGCTGAAAGTAAAGAATACCAGAAGAATGTTTATTTGTGCTTTATTAACTGTGTAGAGGCACTTGACTGTGTGGATCATAATGATTTGTGGCTGACATTGAGATGAATGGGAGTCCCAGAGCACTTAATTGTGCTCATGAGAAACCTATACCTGAACCAGAGGCTGTTTTGAAAATAGAACAAGGGAACAGTGCATGGTTTAAAGTTAAGAAGGGAGTGTATCAGGGTTGTGTTCTCTCTCCATACATATTCAGTCTGTATACTGAGCAAATTATTCAAGAAGCTGTACTCTTTGCAGAGGAATGTGACATCAGGCTCAGAGGGAGACTCATCAATACCCAGCATTATGCAGATGACTCAGCCTTGCATGCTGAAAATGAGTAGGACTTGAAGCACCTGTTGCAGAAGATCAAAAAATGAAGCCTTCAGTATGGATTGCATCTCAGTGTCAAGAAAACAAAGATTCTTAACATGGATCGATAGCCAACATCATGATGGGTGGAGAAGAGATTGAAACTGTCAACAACTTTATCTTGCTTGGATCCATAATTAACACCCTTAGTACCAGCAGTCAAAAAATAAGGAGATGCATTGTACTTGGAAAACCTGAAGTTAGGGATCTCTCCAAATTATTGAGGGGCCATGGTGTCAGTTTGAGGACTAAGGTGCATCTGATTCAGGCCATCATCTGTCTTTCTGATCACTTGCTATGTATCTGAGAGCTGGCCAATGAATAAGGATGACAGAAGAAGAGTTTATGCCTTTGAGATGTAGTGTTGGAGGAGAGCACTGACCATCCCATGGATAGCCAAGAGAATGAATAGATAAATCTTGGAGAGAGTGTAGCTGGAATGTACTCTTTGGAAGTAAGAATGATGACGCTTTGCTTCACATACTTTGGGCATGTTGCTAGGAGGGGCTATTCTTTGAAAAGGGACCTGATGCTTGGAAGAGTAGAGGGTCAGCTAAGGAGAGGAAGATCCTTGATCAGGTGGATTGACATAGTGACTGCCACAATGAGCTCTTGTGTGTCAGGAAGTGTGAGGATGGCGCAGGATAGAACAGGGTTCAGATTTTTTGTTCACTGGGTCACTATAAGTCATACTCAACTCCATGGCACCTACCAATAACAATAGTCATAAGAAGGGAGCTGTGATGGCTTAGTGGCAAGAAACTGCAGTGCAATCTTGAAAGCACAGAGTATTAATCACCAGCTTCACCAGGGAAGAAGGATGGGCAATCTCCTCCCGTGTGATTAACTGCCTCTAAAAACCCACCAGAGGATCAGCTATAGGTTGATTCTGAATCAACAGTACACAACCACCACAATAATCATAAGAACACTAGATACTAGTAACATAACATATTATGTTTACCCTCCAAGCCTGTAGCTCCATCACATTCTGTCAAGGTCAAGAGCAATCCTTTATCTTCTCAGGCAGCTGTGATGTTATAAGTAGACTAGGTGACCAGAGGACCACATCTGGCTTTTGCACAGAGGTATCAGAAGCTTGAGCAGGAGCCACAGTGTTTACATGAGTTCAAGGGCATCACTGTTTAGTTTCACTTGCTGACTTATATTGGAATTGGGGAATGAAATGAGGTACATTTTGCTGCCTGTTCAGTGCAAGATATCCCTTCTCCATGCCAGCACTGATGTCTTGGTTCATTTCCAGGTAAAGTGGGTCTGAAAATGGTTCTGATCCTAAAGAATGAGTTGAAGCCTCTTTCAAGAAGTCTTTCTTCTCTAAGATGTCTGACACTGTTTCTGCAGGTGGACCTGGCCAGCCTGTGTCTGAAAGCCGGGGTCAAGAACCTCAGCACAGTATTTCTCATGACAGACGCCCAAGTGTCTGATGAAAGGTTCCTCGTTCTCATCAATGATCTTCTGGCAACTGGTAAGAGACTCTTTGTACTTTAAAGTCTGTAAGATATTCTCCAGAGAGACAGACATTATCAGATGAACATTTGATCCAAGGTCAGAATGCCTAAGTCACAGAAATGAAGAGAAAATGTATAAAGAGAAGGACTAGTTCATGCAAGGCTCTTCTAAGGACTGGTGCTGGGTTTGTTGTCTTGATTCCTTCATTGCCCATCATTGCCCTGCAAATAATAACCTTTAGACTCTTTTAATGAATCTGATGATGGATAAAAGAGCAGATTAAGGGCCTGGTGATATGCTGAACACATAGGAAAGATGGCGTTGCTCCCTGTACCAAGAAAACTCTGCTGTGTTTCTGATAGGTTAGGTATTTCGGGAAGACACACACAGGGAGAAGAACGGGCACATAAAGAACTTAAATAACAGGACAAGATTAGACGAGCAATTTGTGTAATGAAGGATTCAATGTCTTAGGGAAGCACAGTGGCCTGTGTGGTAGAAGCAGATGCAAAAGATGTTAGCACAGTTTTTCTTTGTCCCTAAAGACCTTGAAAGGGCCTATCAATAGCCCTTTGACATTGTTTACATAACAGAATTCAAAGCAGAGCTCAGTGCTTGTTACTCTACTACTATTATTTATTTAGGAAATCATGAATTATGACAATCATTCTGAAAAAGAGTATATATACATATATTGTTGTTGTTGTTGTTGTTGTTGTGTACCATCGCATGGGAACCGACCCATAGCTGACTCTCCATCAGGTTTTCAGAGGAAGTTAATCGCATGAGAGGAGATTGCTCATCTTGGTCCTGTGGAGCAGCTTGTGGACTTGAACTGCAAGCCTTCAGGATTACAGTGCAGCTTCTTGTCACTAGGCCACCAAATAATGTATACGTGTTTACTGCTTACTTAAAAGTGAAGAGGATTTGAAACACATACTTGAAGATTGAAAACTACAGCCTTCAGGATGGACGACACCTCAACCATAAAGAAAACAGAAACTTCATAACTGGTCCACCAGGCTACATCATGATAAATGGTAAAAACACTGACGAGATCAAAGATTTCCTTTAACTTGGATCCACAATTACCGCCCATGGAAACAGCAGCCAAGAAATCAAATGACATATGGCATTGAACATACTTGCTGCTCAGGAATTCTTTAAAATGCTAAAGAGCAAAGATGTACCTTTAAAGACTAGTGTGCACCTGGCTGCAACTGTGGTCTTTTCAGTTGCTTCAGATGCATGTGAAAGTTTAACAGTGAATAAGAAAAAAAGTCAAAGGAAAAATTGGTGTCTTCTGACTGTACTATCAGTGACAAATACTGATCATACCATAGAGTGCCCAAAGAATAAGCAAATATATCTTAGAAGCAGGGATGGTGACACTTCATCTCACATATATGACCAAGATAGGCCAGTCCCTGGAGAGGGACCTCATGCTTCAGAAAGCAGGCGTCAGTGGAAGAAGGGAAGACCCAATGAGACAAAGTGACTCAGCGACGGACATAGGGAGAGCAGAGCCTGAGATTGACAGAGAGTTGGCTGAGTGCTATTCTGTCGTTCACAGCATTGCTATGAGTTGGAATCAGTTCACCAGCATCTAACAACAACACATTTATCTACATAATTGTTGTTGTTATTATGTGCCGTCGAGTTGTTTGCGACTCATAGCGACGCTATGCACAACAGCCCCAAACCCTGCTCTATCCTGTGCCAACCACACCGCCTCTGACACACCCATCCCGATTACCCCAGTCACCGAATCAATCCATCTCATAGAGGGTCTTC